TAAGCTTTTCGCCGGAAATACTCTGTGTAGGAATTCTTGGCTCCGCCCTACCGCCGACGGTCCCAGCAATATTCCGCCCTGAAAACATCAACAACTCCGCTGTTCAATCACAGTAAATATTGATATTTCTCAAAAATTATAAAAATAAATATTTAAATTAATAAATTAAATTGAGAAGTTAATCTTGAAACTAGTCCCAATTCGAACTTTAATTTTAAAAATTATATTTTCTATTAAGATACAATTATATATATTATTTATTTATTCTCCCATTTACAAAAAATAATTTTTAAAAATATATTGATATTAAATATTTTAAAACAAATAAATATTTACACACTATCATTCTTTTTAAATAAAAACAAAAATTTAAATAAATGACTCTAATTTATTAAATATTAAATACTAAAATTAACTCATAAAAAAATAGTTTTTAATGAAAAAAAAATTACTTACCACAATCTCAGCAATGACTCGAGGTTGTCTAAGCGGTCGGAGAAGCAAACCAAGAAGACGCGTAAGAATCACTACCAAACATATTTGAAGAATAGCCAAAGGGAGAGCGAAGTCAAGAGGGTTGTCGCCTTGAAACACGCCGTTCGACGTTGCTTTCATTGCCGCCGGACAGCCAGCCACCATCGTCGTATTGACCGCCATTTCTACCCACCAAAAACCATTGAATTTCAAATGCAGCCGATTATAACTAAATATAGAGGTAAAAACTAACATTGATACATGAAAATCCTAAAATACTACATCGAGCAGTAGTGCATGTTTACCCGTGATAACCAACACTAGTGAAATCCTAAAACACTACCTCGAGCAGTAGTACTATATGCACGTTGACCTGTGATAAACGGACCCGTTAACTAAATTATGAATAGTAAAATAATCACCTGAATATGAGAGTTCGGATCTCCAAAAGCAGAAAATAAATGGGATGAAGAATTTAGGGACAACCACACCTCCCTTTTATATCCAAACCACATCTTGGTGTGCATGCCCTTGTTGGAACCAGGGTCATTTTGGTAATTTAGAAATTCAAATATATTTTTATATTGATCGCTACTTCTTCTTATAAATATTTTGAAATCTTATCCATCCCAACAATTATGGATTTTATATTATCATAACTCACTATCTTAAATTTCAATATAAATTATCTGATACAAAATAATAAACTAAAACCACGTCTCGACGAGTAATTATAAAAATATAAAATTAGGTTTACAAAAATTATATAGCTATTGGGACGATCTACTCAAATAATTAAATCAGCATATTAAATACTAATGTTTTTAATTAATTAGTATATTTATACATATTTTTTAATTTAATCATTTCATACGTAAATAATTATATTAAAAAAATGTCGGATAATAATTGATATTTTATTTATTGGTATAATACTCGAACATGCGTCCAGATTTTTAAAAGTAACAGTAACATTTTTAAAATACGACTTTTACAAATTGAAATTTATTTATGATTAAATATTGAAATTTAATTATGGGTTTGTGGGTTGATTAAATATAAAATTTACAATAATTTGCCCTAAAAAATTAGCATATTAATTTAAAATTGGAGTGAATGATGGCCCTCCACATCATGTCTGAATAAGCTTTGACTATTTCAATAAAATATTAATATATATTAAGTAGTCAACTCATTTGCTGAAGCTTGGAATGTTCAATAAGTTAATGTAACCATTCTCAAGAACAAAATTGAAATTAAATTTCTTATATCCCAATTGATAATATTTTTTATTTTTGTTTTAAATTGTTAAATTCTTTATCTTCAACTCGCTAAACTATGTCATTAATGAAGTAGAAAAGGAAATAAATTATTTAGAAATTGTTGTCGGTAATTTAGATTTAAGGAAAAAAAGAAACGAATATACGACCTAATTAAAATAGACGAAGAGGCGAGAATTCGAATTTCGAGGCTTGATGGGAGGAGAGTAGAGCTCGACTCAATTCCCTCCTCAACCTCAACTCGGGAGAACGGTTGATATCCTTGGCTAAAAGGACTTTTAGTGAGCTTAGTTCAGATACTCTCTTGACCTAATTTACGAGGAAATGGGACGAGGTCTAGGTCAAACTCTCGTAAAATACACTCTTCGATTTTCCTATTAGAGTCCCACATCGGTCGATTTAGAAGAAGATCATGAGTATGTAAGTGAGAGACACTTTCAATATAAAATTCCTAACTAATGAGATTTTGTATTTTATTTTGTATTTTGTAGCCGCCACCCGATAATATTATCTATTTTATTTAATTTTCTCCCTACTTTACTTTTTTATTAGATACACAACAATCTTGAAATTATAATTTTATTTTCAATTAAAGGAATTGTTGTTTTCTAATTTTGAAAAAATAAAATGAGGCTAATAAGTAGATGCAATTAATAATAATAATAATAATATTATTATTATTATTATTATTATTATTTTGCTTTTTTTGGGAATTTTAATGAAGTTGTAACTCTCATTAAAATTTCTACTTTGGAACAATAATGTTTGTAATGTAAACGTTATCTGTTTGTTGGTTTATTGGAAACCTATGTTTTGTGTTGACTTTCAAAATTTGACTAAATGGTTCAATTATTTTCCTTATTCTATAATCTTTACGCTATCATCTTATTTTATTTTTATTATATAGTTTTAATATTAATTACAATCTAAGAGGATAGTGATTGGAGGGGAAAATTTGTTCCATAATTAAATATTTTTATTTTATTATTTTTTTAAAGTTTCTTTTTTTTCTTTTTTTCTTTTTTTACGTAAAATTGATGCATGTATTTGCTCATAAAAAAATTTCTTTATATATCCCTTTGTATATTAAATTTAACAGTAAATTTGAAATATCACTAAATAATTTAAATTAAATTATTATTCTAAAAAAATACGCATAATTTTTTGTCTTTTCTCTCTCTTCAGTATCCGACACTCTGGGTCACCTCTCGAGGATTGTTAGGAGAGAATCCCACATCAACTAATTCAGAAAAGGATCATCGATTAAATATTAACTCTTTTTTTTTCTCGTCAACAACTCAAAAATCTACGATACATCATTTTGTAAATAATAATAATAATAATTTATTTAATCGAGCTAATATGTTAATGGTAGAGATAAAAAACGAGATTATTTTAAATTTGAGGGACTAAAATCTCGAATTTATAAATTTATAGGCAAAAATGCAATTCGAGTCAAACTTGATCACTAAAAATTGAATCTAAAAACTAAAAATAATACTTAAACAATTTTTTGTTTTTTATTCTATTAATGATTGAGGTAGTTTTAAAATGGGGAGATTTAAGATGTCTTATAAATTGTTATAAGATTACATAAAAAATAAAAATAAATAAATAAATCTGGTAGGACAACCAATTTGCCCCGATGCTCAAAAAAAATAAATGAAAATTTTAACGAGATGGAGAATGAAATAGATGACGTGAATGTGGACAGTGAATTTGTATGTTAATGAAATTAAATAAGAATATTGATTTCTTAACGTGCATACGAATCCATTGTTGTGGAAAGAGACATTGACTTTTCTCACTTGTAAGACATCTTAAAATAAAAATTAAATATTAGTATTTTCATAGCACGCTTAATTCAGCTAAAATTTTAATGCGGATAACCACACTCATAATATACACACTAAATTAAAGCTCGACCAGTGTACCAAATTAAACCGTTTAAAATATTTAGACTACCGTAAATATACACTTTTATATAGAATTTTTAACCTTAAAAAAATAAATAATGTCACTTTCGATTCAATAATTTTTATTTTTTTATTTTTTTTATAACGAGTAAATTGGAAGGGAGGAAAATTAGAGGTAAAGCTTAGTTTATATTATTGAAAATTGATTAGTTTAATGAATTATTGGAATTAGTGGTTAGGTGTAATAAGATGGCACGTGCGTGACGTGTGTGGGAATTATTGAAGAGAATATGAGGTGGAGGATGACATGGCACCCGGAATAGAAAAAGAAGGGAAAAAGAAAAAGTCAACCAAAGCTTGGGACACGTCATACTCGCTCAAGCCATTCAGATATTCGAAGTCAACGGAAATAAAATTCCAAAAAAGAATATTCCAAAAAGATATAATTAAGAAAATATAATATGTTATCCCATAACTGAATAGTACGGTTTGACTTAACCTCAAATCTTTTCTCTAATTTTCTCTAATTATATATATATACATATATATACACACACACACATATATATATATACACTTTGAATTCAAAGTAATTCCCATTTTCTTTAAGAAAATATTGAATTGCGAATTTATTTATAAAATAAGTTTGCTTTTATTAACGATGGAGTCAAATAAATCAGAATATTCTGGTTTATATTGAAACTGCTTAAAATGTTTTTTTTATTAAAAAAATGTAATGGATAATTTATCATATATTTTAGTTAATAATTTAAATTTGAGCCAAACCAACTAATAATATAAATAAATAAAACAAAATTATTTAAGATTCTTCAAACTCTTCCATTTTTTTTTATATAATATCATTAATTGTGTCCAAATACAACTCCCAAAATTTTATTTCTCATTCTTTTTTTTAATTTGATAAAATTTACATTTTTAGTCAATAATTTAAACTTAAAATTAGTTTAAATTAATTTTTCTTATAGAATTTAAATTTTCTATTTAATTTATTAAATATTTCCCTTTAATTTGTTAAAATAAAATATTTTTAATGTATAACGTATACCATCAAAATAATCCTAAAATAATTTTTTTTGTTTTTTTTTATTGTTGATTATCATCATAAATGTAAAAAAAGTATTCTAAAATCTAATTCATAATTCAATTTTTAATAATTTCTTATAATTGTGATTCTAGTCAACTCATTGTAAACATCACATTCTAATTTCAATTCAGTCGATTTTCGTACTTATTTCAGCTAATTCTCAGTGTCGATTTCTAGTAAGTAAACGAAGTTCTTAAGGTAAATTGTTTTATTTTACATCAGATGTTATTATGAAACAAAGAAAAGAGATTATGTAATGACCTGAACTGTGTGTGTGTGTGTGTGTTCATGTACAGTATGAGGGAAGCAGCTCCCACTGAACAAAACAGCATATGATACAACTAATAAGCAAATACAAAATTGATCATATATATAATCATCCAAACTACCATGAACCTTATATATGATTTACTCAGCCCTCTGCTTCCTCTTCTTAGACAAAATTGGATGTTGAGACTTGTCTTGATCGTTGCTAAACTGAGCAGCCGTTCGGGCCCTCAGTTCTTCCAAGCTCTCGCCTTCTTTCGCTCTCTCTAAGACCTGATAGTTGTATTAAGAAAAACCATAAGAAACGCGTCATCGGTCCGGGTTCTACGCTCTACTGTAACTCGAGCATCACATGAGGTAAAAAGTATGGCTGTTGATTCACAAGGTGAGTTCAAGACTTACAAGATGTCGGCCATACAAATGGGTGTTTGAAAGTGCTTGAAATGCATTTTGTGCTTCCTGCTTTGTTACAAACTCCACAAATGCAAAGCCTCTATGCTTTCCGAACTTCATTGGCAGTCTTAAGCTCTTAATCTGAGAAAAGATAGATATTAAGGAGAGCAAAAGAATTGACTGCAGAAATGGATACATGACCTGATATAATTTGCTATAATTCAATCGTCGTGAAAGAATCCAAAATCATTGTGCATAGAACCAACTAGAGGTACAAAGTTCATTTTCCTGAACAAAAGAATAGTGACAATTTCTAGGTTGACTTTGGTATGGCTTTAAATAAAATGTTTCTAAGAGAAGCAATCCAACTATAATCTTTAGAAGAAGCAATAATTATATGGTTTTTTTTCTTTCTAAAACATACTCTACAGGTGCTTTTTAAGTGATTTTAATGAAATTTTGGATGAAGTGACCCAAAAATTGTACCGAACTCACAAGAGGATATCAGTGCGCTTTATATGAATAACTGTAGGTGTAATATGATGGTTTGAATGCACTTGTACTTATGGCGTGTGGTTTTGAAAACCTCTCTAAGAAGGGAAAATATTAGATTTCAACTTGAATGATACGAATCTTCGTATGAAAATATTATCGAGGCAGCGGTAGCACGCTCCCTTCTCTATAGGTTAATAGCCTTAAACTCATATTCATCTTAAAAATTTTGACAGCATCTCCAAGTAGAATAAAACTCACAAATATTACTATCAACGAGTGAAAAAAACTGAATTATTAACAAAGAGAAGCGATCACCTGTCCGTATGGACTGAATAGTTGTCTTAGATCTTTCCCTGTCGCCTCGAAAGCCACATTTCTTACGAGTAATTTTGTCGAACTCTTTTCCTTATCTACTTTTCTTTGCCCTTGATTATCCTTCTTGACATGACACATTTGTAACATGACGGCATGGCCATCCAAAACAGTTCCCTGATGCAAAGAAAGGAATTAAGAAATCTAATTTATTCCTAAACTGATATGCAATGTAAAAAAAGTGCATTGAAAGGATAATCACCTGCAAATTATTGCAGACACTTGTGGCAGTCTCCACCGAATCAAATTCCAAAAATCCAAAACCCATTGAAACATGCTGTCCTTTTTTTATATGCTTCTTTACCTGGCAGTCAAGAAATAAAGCTAAGGAACATTGAACTTCTCGTTATCAACAAAATGAATTGCCGAGATTAAGGTATACCTTGGCGCTCAATATTCTTCCCTCTTTCATGTGTTCACTAAAATGCTTTCTCAAACTTTCGTCAGACGTTTTAAAATTGAGGTTCTTGACGAAAAGAGATCGTGACTGAAGAAAATAGGACATAAGTAAAAGCAAGTAAATAGATTGGATAGACAAAATAACTACGCTCCCACATTCAAAAAATTAAAGAAAATGTATGGTTGCAACATGCAAAATGCAAAAGTAGTTGATTCGTGGATATATACAGTTCCACCGGATAAATATTACAAAGACTCGTAAAAGAATAAGCTGAGTAATCTCCATATGCATATATCTACGATGAGTATCTTGATTTAAATGCTTGTTAGTTTTTTTTTTTTTTTTTTTTTTTTTTTTTTTTTTTTTTTTTTTTTTTTTTTTTTTTTTTTTT